ATGAAAGCACTTAGGAAGAATGGCACTTGGAATTGACTGAGTTACCTACGGGCAAACGACCTGTGGATGTAAATGGGTATATACTGTGAAACACAAAGCAGATGGGTCTATTGAGCGTTACAAGGCAAGACTTGTGGCAAAAGGTTTACTCAGACATATGGCATTGATTATCAGGAGACCTTCGCACCCGTGGCTAAATGAATTCAGTCAGAGTACTTCTTCTCTCTAGCAGCTAATCTAGATTGGCCACTTTATCAGTTTGATGCAAGAATGCTTTTCTCCATGGTGACCTCGAAGAAGAAGTATATATGGACATTCCTCCGGGTTTTGAGGATCATCAAACAGAAGGCAAAGTATCAAACTTCGGAAGTCATTATATGGTCTCAAACAGTCTCCAAGGGCTTGGTTTGAGAGATTCACTCAGGCTATGTTTAAATATGGCTTCAAACAAAGTCAGGCAGATCACACATTGTTTGTGAACATTCCTCACACGGTAAGACTACAGCACTTATTGTTTATGTAGATGACATAGTTCTTACAGCAATGATAGTGGGGAAATACCTCTGTTGAAGAAATATTTAGCTAAAGAGTTTGAAATCAAAGACTTGGGAAGCTTGAAATATTTTCTGGGAATTGAAGTTGCTCGCTCTAAGGATGGATATTTATCTCACAGAGAAAATATGTGTTGACCTGTTGAAGGAAACTGGGATGCTTGGCTGCAAGGCATGTGCCACCCCCTGGAACCAATCAGAAATTGGGGGATGAGAAGGAGGAGAAGTTTGTGGATAGGGGAGCTATCAACGATTAGTGCGGTAAGCTCATTTACCTATCTCACTCCCGTCCTGATATTGCTGTTGCTGTCAGATATAGTTAGTCAGTTTATGCATGCTCCTCATCAGATTCACCTTGAGGCTGTCATGAGAATCTTGAGGTATTTGAAGTCTGCTCCTGGTAAGGGTCTGTATTTTCAAAGTATGATCATCTTCGTGTAGAAGCCTATAAGATGCTGACTGGGCTGGGTCAGTAACTGATAGGAGATCAACTTCAGGGTATTGCACATTTGTTGGCGGCAACCTAGTACTTGGAGGAGTAAAAGAAACAGAATGTGGTTGCCAGGTCAAGTGCAGAAGCTGAGTTTAGAGCTATGGCACAAGGTGTGTGTGAACTTTTATGGATCAAATTATTGTTGCGTGATCTAGGTATTGATCAGACGACTCCATGCGGTTATACTGTGATAATAAGGCCGCCATCAACATCGCTCACAATCCAGTTCAACATGACAGGACAAAACATGTTGAGATTGATCGCCACTTCATTAAGGAGAAACTCACTAGTGGTACCATTTGTACTCCCTTTGTCCAGTCTGGTGAACAACTTGCTGACATTCTCACCAAGGGATTGGGAATAAACCATTTCATGACATATTAGGCAAGCTGGGCATGAGAGATATCTTCGCACCAGCTTGAGGGGGAGTGTTAGCATATTATATTAGCCGAAGTGTTAGACATATTATATTAGCCGAAAGTTACACTAGGGTCTGTAATCATTTTATGTCCTCAGGGATCACTCTTGTAATTGCTCTTTCTTGTAAACCCTAATCTTCATTTATAAATAGGGGTGATATTCTATCATACCCCAAGCTGGTTACCCCAAGCTTCACCACTTAGCAATGAAGGAAGCAAATGATTGACTTATAAGTTAACACAAACATCTACTAGAACACCTGTAACCACGGTTCATCATGCTACCCAAGCAAAGAAATCCAACCTAAAAGGAACTCTTGGGAAAAATCTGAGTTTTTAATAGTGAAAATCCAAAACAGTAAGTACAGTACTATCACACACAAAAAAAAAAATGCTTGCACATCTGTTCTCCTAATTGAGGTGCATATACAATATATATTTAATTAACACAAAAATACAAAAGAGGTGTAGAGACAACCTAGCACCTCTAAGATGCATAGAATTCTAAAAAGGGGGAGAGAGATAAGAAATGAAGGAAAAGTGAGGGGGAGGGGAAAGGAAAAGCAAAAGGGAAATCATAGTGGAAGCCCTCAAAACTCACAACTAAAGTAAGAATCACCACTGTAGACCTCACTACACCTCTTTAATCTGTTAATCTCATCACTGGAATGAATTTAGATCACTAATTAAAAAGAAACAGAATTAGAGACAGTGCTTAGGTTTGATTTACTCTTTTGGGAGAAATTTCAAATTTTGAAACCATTTGGTGAGTACATGGTGTCCTCCTACTTTTGAGATCCTTGAATCATTTTTTTTTTTTTTTTTTTAAACTGGCAAAGAATATTATTAAGCACAAGCAAGAAAAGAGAAAGAGGACAAGGAGTACTCAAATAAGTTCCTAACACAACAAAAAACCAAAAATAAATAGGAAAACACAAAACTAGGAAATGGCAAACAGCAGCCCAATCCTAAATCAAGAAAAAGGGAACTCCTTTAAAGGTTCTAGACACAAAAGCCCAAAAGCAAAGCAAATATCTCCCCTTGTCCCATAAGATTCATCACTCGACTCCTTTCCTTCAAAGATCCTTGAATTCCTCTCCAGCCATAAGGACAAAAGTGGCACACAACAATACTCTAGCTGCCTCCAAATCCTGCAAACCTATGTTAGAATTTATCTCCACCTACCACCTCCAACTACAACACACTCGCACCTACCACCTCTCACTTCACCCTACACCTACCACATTTTCTCTATATATAGGAATTGTAAATGTATCAATTATATCAATCATTAAACAATCATAATTACATAAAATTAAACAAACATGGTATCAGAGGCAGGTTTAGAACCTGAATATTTTCGCGTTCCCCGGCGGGCGGCAACCTACCTTAGCTGCCCGCCGACTTCAACCTATTCCGCTTATTTCTACACATTACCCTGCGCATCAACTTGCTTTACAAAGTCCTCTCTGATTGACTTATTTTCTACATATCAGCAACATCGTCGCACTCGGTCCGGTTCAAATCCGCGCGACTCGGCCGTCCCTCACGCTTCTCTTCCTCCGCTGGAAGCATTCCCCTCTCCCTCCGCCGCTCCTTCTGGCTGCCTAAGCCGTCCTGCAGCGCCGCCGCGTGGGCCTCACTGCTCCCTCGCCCGAGCCTTCCTGCTGCGCCTCCGCGCTCAGTCTGCAGCCGCCTCGCAAGATAGCTCGGCGTTGCGCCGGCCGCCTTCTCCACCTTCGCCCGGCCGAGCACGCCGCCGATAATTAGTCTTTGATCAATCACCTCCCTATTTTTGAAAAGTTCCTTCATGTCTCACACGTTGGTGAGGAAAGTGAAGTACTGAAGAACAGTTTGCTCCCCCTGAAGTGAGCTCTCAATAGAGCGGCGCAACTCAAATGCCTGTGAAAAATTTCCTTTGTGGGAATAGGTAACAGCCACAGCCTCCCAAACGTCCTGGGCAGTCTCCATAGACAAGTAGCCCTCACCAAGTTCTGGAACCATCGAATGGATAAGCCAACTCATAATTAAAGAGTTGGTAATCTCCCATTGGTCATAACCTGAGTCAGTGGTACTGGGTGCCTGTATCCTGCCATCAACATATCCCATCTTCCCTCTGCTCTTCAAAAACATAGTCAAACTTTGAGACCATGCTAGGTAGTTTTGACCATTAAATAGAGAGGTGGTGATTTTCAGGCTAGGGTTGGGGTTCTCAGTCATGGTAGTAGGTAGAATGGGACTCTCACTCTTTGGTGTTTGAGAAGAAGGGGACACACTGGTGGAATCTGTCATGGATACAATACTACCGAACCCGTAACAAAACTAGTGGCAATCACAAACTCGGAAGGTGGTAGTGAGATAACAGGCACAATAACTACTATAAATGACATAACAAAATTAAGAAATCATTTTTTTTTTCTTTTTGTGTTTTTTTTTTTTGGTTTTTTTTTTTTGGTTTTTTTTTATATTGATGTATACATGTATTTATATATAAGTATATATATCAGGTTATATTTATATATATATCAGGATATATATATATATATATTTATATATACCAAGGGTGTGAGATACCAGAGTGACGAAGATGACAGAGAGACGAGGACGACGAGGGCGATGACGACGAGCGACGAACGGCTGGAGGAGATCGACGAGCTGAGGAGCTGAGACGAAGACGAAGACGAAGACGAGCTGAGGAGCAGACGAAGACGGAGCAGACGAAGACGAAGACGACAGAGGACGGCTGGAGGAGATCGACCCAGCAGATGATCCAACTAGGTACGTTTTGAACCCTAACCCTAGGGATGTAGCTCTGATACCATGAAGCTTGGGTAACCAGCTTGGGGTATGATAGAATATCACCCCCTATTTATAAATGAAGATTAGGGTTTACAAGAAAGGCAATTACGAGATGATCCCTGAGGACATAAAATGATTACAGACCCTAGTGTAACTTTCGGCTAATATAATATGCTAACACTTTCGGCTAATATAATATGCTAACAAGTGGCAACGGAGCTTCAGGATTTGCTTTTCTCCAGCTTTGGGGTTGAGTGGGTGATGTCAAGATCGGTCAAGGTTGTTGGGGGCACTGTTATAGGAGGAAGACTAAGAAGAAGGCATGGATGGTGGCTCACTTATGTTTGATGTGGATCTTGTGGAGGGAGACTGGGAGACAAATAAGTGCACTTTTGAAATGGAATTGATGACTTATAAGCTGAAAATGGATCTCCTGCATACTTTCGGTGTAAAGGATCTTTTTGTGAATCCTCTTTTCTTCTTGTTGATTTTATAGCCTAACTACATTTCTCTGTAGAGCTCTTTTGATGCTTTTTGTGTATGTTCGCACCCTTGGGGTGTTTTTGATATAGTCATACCACCTATTTTGAATTTATTTATCGGAAAGAAGAAATCTTTTATAAGATTGGAAACCAAACTCAAAACAGATAATTTTATAGTTCTTGTCTTACTATACAGAAGAATAATAGTTATTTTTATTGATTGTCTGATTAATTATATTTCCTTTCATTCTTGCAGCTCACAGGAGCGTATTTTGCATTCCTGGAGGTTCTTCTGAATAGCCATGTCACTTTTGTTTTGAATCTGGATACAAGCACTTTTAGGTATATTGTAGGATCTCTTGAATCAGGCCTCAGAGGACTGGATGCAAATATCATATCACAGGTTTGTTTGTTATCTCTCTTGACATTTTGTCCCTTTTTTTTTTTTTCGTGCTGGACGAAACTAAAATATTATATATATATATATATATATATATTTTTTTCCTTCTCTCTAGGTCCTAGAAACCCTTCTCACATTGCTTTTACCCTTCCATTGTGTTATGAGAGTGTTTACTTAGGCACTTCATTCTTAATTTTCTTAACATACACAATCATTCTTGTAATGGTATGATACAAGAGTACTGCAGCTCCCTTGAGATGTTTTTCCGTTAAATAATCCTTTGAATTTGTTATGTCAGTGTGCATCTGCAGTTGATAATTTGGCTACTTATTATTTCAATCACATAACGGTTGGAGAGTCCCCCACTACACCAGCTGCTCTTAATCTTGCTCGGCATGTTGCAGATTGCCCTGGTGTGTTTCCTGAAGTAAGTTGCTTCTTCTTTTTCTTCTTTTTTTTATAAGTAGTTAACTTATTTCTCTTCATTTGAAATGCATATTATCAGCTTAAATATTCTAATGACAATTGAGAACCATAGGATTTGGTTTCTCATAATGCCGACAGTGAATGGTGTCATATCAAATATAATTATGATAAATGATAATAAATTGGAGGTGATGCAATATTGTTTGCATTGGTGACATTTTATTTATAATTTTCAATACCTTTGTATAATGTGCTTGGCTCACTTTATGCGAGATGATCCTTTGTGATATGAGAAATTGTTCTTATTTTTTTTTCTCTTTTTCTTGGCACAATAATTTTCAGAACAATATCATGAGGGATTACACGCATCATTTTGACCTTTGGTAGAATGCATTAGATGGGCATTCTTTATGGAGGAACGATATTTTATGGTTTTTAAATGTAACAAAAAACCATTGATTCATCTCATCTGATCACACAAATTTCTTTCATAAATGTGTGATTTGGATCCAAATTTCCTTTGATACATCTCATCTGATCACACACAAATTTAGAAGCACTTCATTTTGTTCACTGATGAGTGAAAAATTGTATGTGTCTTGCTTTTAATATTTTTTGTTCTTCTTTGTTAATATTCATGCCGTATTTATCTAAATTCTTGATATACATGCCATCTCTCTCTCTCTCTCTCTCTCTCTTTTTTGTTATTGCTGATTATTTATTTTGTTAACTAGATATTGAAAACCCTCTTTGAGATTGTCCTATTTGAGGACTGTGGCAACCAGTGGAGCCTTAGCAGACCAATGTTGAGCTTGATACTTATAAGTGAAGAGGTAATAGTTGAAACTGCAAATTTTCAATTCCGTTCTTGTTTTGTAGTCTTCCTGTTTTGCAGTTCTTTTGTATGGCAAGTACAAACTAAACAGTAGTCTTAAAAGGGGTTGGAATCTAAAACAGATGTTTTGAATTATATTTACAACTTGAGAATGTAAACATGTCTTTTTTAGTAACACAGTCAACCAATAGGAACATAAAGAATTATAGGAATAACCAATAGAACTTTGAATGGACTACATTAGTTCTATCTTAAGAGGAACACGAAGTGCATGCTACTTTGCTTTAGTTCCTTCATGTGTATGGCCTAGCAATAAATATAAATAAATAAATAAAACAAAATTCCTACTATAATGAGTGTGGCTATCAAAGTTCCCAGAAGTTTTTCCCTATTATAGAGTTGAGTTCAAGATGCCATATCCTTTTTGGGATCTGTTGATTGGTTGGATTATCCAGTACCTAAAAATTGATGTCAGACTTGTATTTAAGCTGCGAACCAGCTGAGCTGTATGACCCAGGATTGAATCCTGGCTTCGTGGGCAGGGATACAACCAAATAAATGAGACTTCTATTTAGGTGGAGAGCAAATACTATGTTGAGAGAGAGTCATTTCAGACAGTAATTGAAATTTGTACTTTGTCTCATATGAAGAACCCTATTTGTGAATTGAAACTTCCATTCTGTTTGTGCTTTTCAAATTAACTTGTATGACCATGATATCTTGCAGATGTTCACAAATTTGAAAGCACAGATTTTGGCTTCACAAGTAAGTTTGATGTCCTCTATTTGATTGCTATCGATTAACATTTGTTGCATGTTGTCTAGGAATTTGTTTATAAAGTGTTTTTCTTTCTTCCATTGGGCTGTGCGACTGTAAGGTGTTAGGTGCTCACGTTGTAGGTGAAACCAATTAGGTCTCGCTTATGAACTAAAGACTACTAGCCAATTAGTCATCTTGTTTCTCCAGCATGCTACTTTCTAAATTTAAACAGTGCTTCTCTGCTAGATGGTTTTATAGAATAAAGCATAAACAAAGTAAGAATTTTATTTAAAATATTTGTTGGATAGCTTATAAAAGATGATAGGATTTACCAATGATTTAATTGTGTATTTTATGATTTTGTCCTTAGTTGTAGTTTGATTTGGCTAACAGCTTATTTGGGACAATTGGTGATCTAACATGGTGTCAGAGCTCTAGGGTTCCAAGAGATCCTAGGTTCAAGTCTTGTCGCCACCGTTATCTCTGTCATTGTGCTCTTTGTTTTGTCTGTCTCCATGCACCTTTTTTCTCCGCCTGTTTGTCTCTCTATGTGTGAGACGGGTTCGCATGTGAAGAGCTGTTAGCTTGATACGCATTGTTAGGCCTATTTTGTAAGAACTTAAACTTTTGGAATAATTGGTGACTTAAACATGTTATCAGATTAAACTAACATCATGCAATGTAGGTAACCGTATAATTTCCTAGAACTGAATCTGGTGAGAACTTTGAAAATCTATTGAAACTTACTTGGGGTTAAAAAAAAAAAATCTGTAGTGAAACTTGTGTCTAAAACATTCCACTATGACATACCCACAATTATTGGGTTTTAAATATTTCTTTGTTGGGAATTTTTGACTTGTGAAAAAGATGTAAATTGTAAAGCTGAAGTCACTCCTTTGGATAATTATTAACAGCAGATGTAACTTAGACTTCTGTATCTATAATTGTTGCAAGATGATTATTGTATCTATCATTGTTACAGCCAGTGGATCAACAACAGCGTCTTTCATTGTGCTTTGACCAACTTATGGCAGACATCTCTCGAAGCTTGGAAACGAAGAACAGGGACAAATTCACCCAGAACCTGACCAGATTCAGGAATGACTTCCGTACTAGATAATATTCAACTCTGCTCACTGCATTCAAGTACTTTAAAAATAATATTAAAAAAAAAACCTATGTATATAACACCTTCCCCCTACCCCTACCTATCCAACCAAAAGAGAAGAGAAGGAACGAGTAGAAAATTCTGTATTGCAAAGGTTTATTTTGAGAATTGAGTTGTCTGCTCACGTGGGGGTTTTAACATGAAGTTTTGGGGATGTTTTGATATATTTTTACATGACAGTCGTTGGGGTAGGAAGATAGAAATTGGTTGTGGAATGGTTTTCCATTTCAAATGATTGTAGTTTTTGCTGCATATGTTATGCTTGACATGATCGATCTTTTTCAGAAGAAACAACGAAAAAAATTGTAAATGAGATGCCATAGTTTTTGGTTGCAGAGTTGAAATCTCTCTCTCTCTCTCTCTCTCTCTCTCTGTTTTCGTTTCTTTTGTTAAAGTTTTAGGTTTCTTAAATTTGGTTGAGGTGGCAGCGGTGGTGGTGTTTGGTGGTGGTGCAGTGGTGATAGTTGCAGCGGTGTTTTGTGGTTCTGGTGGTGAAATTTCTTTCTTCAAAACTTTTAATGTGCACAACTTTGTATGCATATATTTGTTTTGGACCTCCCCCCGAAAAAATTTATTTTATGTATTTTTTTTTTTCATGATACAGACATTGCAAACTGTCTTAGGTGATTTGGGCATATGGTTTTTTTACTCTTTAACAGTGAAGTTTCTTCGCTAGGAATTAGCGTGGTGGCATATGGCTGTTTGGGTTCTCTTCGGCGGCTTTTATTTTAACACATTACTTTCTATTAGTTAATTCAAATTTTTTAGTTTGGATACCAACTTTTGAACAAAATTATAGGGTTTGGAAATTGACTTTTAAATAAAAATTCGGAGTTCAGAAATTAACTTTTGAACCAAAGATAAGTTGAAGTATAAGTCTTCATTTGAAAATGGATTTTGGACCTTACAGTTTTGTTCAACAGTTGATTTTCGAAGTAAAACAAAGGATGAAAACTAAGAGAAAGTGGTGTTTAAAAATAGAAATTGGGAAAGTTAATATAGATTCAAATGTGAAGAATCAAAATTCAAACCAATGGATATCTGAATGGCATAAATGATGTGTACTGTAATTTTCTAAATCAAAGATCCTAATGTGGCAAAACCCATCCCACATTTGAAACCTCACATGTAAAATCTCACATGTAAAATCTCACCTTACGTAAATTTCGTTTTTTAAGTATCTATGTTTGAGCAGGAGGTTTTTGAAGTTTTATTGTTTGATAACATGATATTCTTTTCAGGTTTTTATATTGTCATAAATTTCATGTTATCATATACTCTTGAAGCATTAATATTTGTTTTGCAGATCATGATCTTTGTTGGTTGAAATGGATTGGGGTGATTAAGGTTTTCTTTGTCATGTGTATGGTCACAGAATTGCTAAACGGGGAGATTGTTAAGTTTTTGTAATTGGCAATCATGTTGGAAAAAACTCCATTTAGTTGTATTTTTATTCACTCTACTGTATTTGTGAGTTATGAGAGTTTAAATGTGAATCTAACCTGAGGTGTGCCTGTGTGGACGAGTTTGTGTTGACATTCGGTATCTTGACTTGAGTATTCCTTGTTTGCTACTTCATTGACTAAGTACGAGGATTGAGCTGCCCAGTCAGCTTAGTGGGGTCCAAGAGTCAGTGGCCCTGGTGAGTCTGGGGCAGCGCCCCTAAAGCCAAGAAAGAAATCAAAGTTGATTAACGGCGCGAGTGGTATTTCTTGTGCTCGAGAGGTGAAGGTCTAACCAGTATCTCTCTGCTTGAATTTTGAACTTCTAGGAAACATATTTTACCACTAGAGCGGTAGATGTTGCACTTGAGTGGTCTTTGTGGCTGTGTTTAATATAAAGTGCGCTGTTTGTTATTTTTAGGATTTAACCCTTCTAGATTCTCAAAGAGGAATAAAGCACAAAGTGTTCTATATTGGAGGGTATTTATATTTGAGTTTCCTTGATGCATAAAAGGTGATCGATTGATCAACGAATTATATATTGACAAACATCAAGAGTTGATTTTATTTTTTCATTCACAAAAAGAGAGAGGTGTTCATCTGTGGATTCTGGGAATCTTGGGCCTGAAGCTTTGGTGGATTCTAGATTGGCTCATTGTCGTGGATTCGACATCGGCGTTGTGGATTCAATGTTGGGCAAAACAATTTCGAGGTGAAGACAGTGGTAGAAGAGACACATTGGGTTCGGTTCAATTTGGACATGAGTTTGCTAGGTAATTGAGGGTAGGATTTAACCCTTCTAGATTCTCAAAGAGGAATAAAGCACAAAGTGTTCTATATTGGAGGGTATTTATATTTGAGTTTCCTTGATGCATAAAAGGTGATCGATTGATCAACGAATTATATATTGACAAACATCAAGGGTTGATTTTATTTTTTCATTCACAAAAAGAGAGAGGTGTTCATCTGTAGATTCTGGGAATCTTGGGCCTGAAGCTTTGGTGGATTCTAGATTGGCTCATTGTCGTGGATTCGACATCGCCGTTGTGGATTCAATGTTGGGCAAAACAATTCCGAGGTGAAGACAGTGGTAGAAGAGACACATTGGGTTCGGTTCAATTTGGACATGAGTTTGTAGGTAATTGAGGGTTCTCGTATGCAATTCATTTTTGTCTTCTTAGTAGATTCTTTTGTGGTTTTGACCCGAGATTTTTTTTTTTATCACAATTAGAGGAGTCCAATTGTGATTTTTTTTTTACATTAAATCTAGAGATGTAAGAAAAATCGTAAAAACTGACTAAACCGATTGGATTGGACCAAACTGGCTATATTTGGTCTTTTTTTTTAACAATAATCAGTTTGTACGGTTTTTAAATTTGATTTTTTTAAGTTTTCGGTTTGGTATCGGTTTAAGCATCTTATGCATCGATCTAAACTGAAACCGACTGCTTCAAAATATATTGTATTTATAATATATATATATATATATATAATCTAATAATATAATGATATTAATAAGTATGATAAATTATTAACCTTAATTAATTAACCTTATCATCTTTACAACCTAAGTTTGTAAACTTTTATTATATATAATCTTAACTCTAACTCATTATTTTTGAAACCTTAGTATTTTTAAACTTTTTCTTGTTTTTATTTTTGTTAATTTAGGAATTGAAAAGTATGTATTAAATGGATGGATTGGATATATTTGAAATGGTAGACAAATAGTTAATTTAATGTTTTTATATAGATTAATGATTATATTTAAAAGTGGCTCAAGTTTGAAAAATCTTAAACTGATTAAACCGTATCAAACCGAACCATTTCAATCGGTTCGGTTTGGTGCAGTTTGGTGGGAGAAGCGGTCTGTATCAGTGTTCAAAATAATAAAACCAACATTATCGGTTCGGTGTAATTTTTTACCTAAATACCGACCATACCGAACTGATTACATCCCTAGTTAAATCGTTGTGCCGATTTATTATTGATTGTATGATTGGGATTGTTGTTCACTATTTAAAATTGAATTATAATCACAAATCAATATATCTCGAGGGGGGGGGTTAGATTTTTCAGATATAAAGACAAAAGCCACATAAACAAGTATAGAATGGTGTAGTAACCAATAGTATGCGATAAATAAGTAACACATAACATGTGACAACCCTCACCACTGATTATTGCTAAACTGTGACTGAACATGATAAGTAACTGATTAGGATGAAATCCTAAACTGATTGCATGAATGTGTTATGTTAAATGCATTTCTATCTGTTTGACTGGTAATCAATCTGTTCATGTTTTATGTTTTAAACTGCAAATTGAAGGCCTTATCGACGGCCGAATCTAGAACTGATTAGTGTTCTGTGTTATTTAGAATTAATGTGATTTTATGGTAAATTTAGTTGAAATTTGATTTGGTATGATTAAATTGGATTAAATAAGCTAAATCACATTAGTTGCTTTAATTACCCTTTTGCCATTAGTGGGCCACTACCTACAACATTGTCTTGGAGCCTTTGTTCCATCATTCTTGTTCATTCTTGGAGACAAAACCGACTAGAGAGAAAGAGAGATAGGAGAAAATAGAGTTCTTCAAGGTTTGCTTGGAAAATTAGAAGAATTGAAGAGTAGATTGCATAATTGAGCTTCTAGACTTGAAATTGAGGACCTAAGGTAGGAGAATCATCTTCTTGAACTTATATTTAAGATGTATCTTGCATGTTTCATGGAAGTTTGGTGATTAGAGTCTAGAATTGGTTCAAAATGTTGAATTGAAGCTTAAATCATGCATGCATGTACACATTGTTGAGTTTTGAGGTTGATTTCATGGAAATCCTCACATGCATGTCTTTATTCTAAACTTGGTCCATGAATTCATCATGTTTGACTCATTTGATTATGTATTGGAAGCTTTGAAGTTGATTAAATTCATACATGCTGCATGTTCATCATGTTCTTGAAGTTTTGTTTGGAAATGGGTTCAATTGAACTTCCTTTGGGCTTTGATTTTGAAAATTGATCTTTGAAACATGTCATATTATGAGTTTTAAAGTGTTTTCTAGAAAATTAGCCCAAAAGGATTGAATTTGATGCTTTAAATGTTGAGTTTCATGCTTGGAGACAAATATGGAAATTCCAGATTTTGGATTCACGCTCGAGCGAGGAACTTCACGCTCGAGCGTACACTCTGAGTTCATGCAGTCCGCTCGAGCGAGTAAAGTAACGCTCGAGTGTGAAATGCGTGTATCTAGCACTTTGCATGTGTTTACAGTCCGCTTGAGCGAGGGTTGTGTCTCACGCTTGAGCGGGGGTCGAGGGCCCGTCGAGCGTGAATTTCATGCATCTAGTACTTTTGCAGTCCGCTCAAGCGAGGAAAGTCACGCTCGAGCATAGATCCTTTGTCTGCATGTCCGCTCGAGCGTAGAAAGCCACGCTCGAGCGAGACTCCTGTTTTCTGAAAATTTTGAAAAGTGTTTTAAAGTACATCTTTGCATCCTCATTTCATCCTAGGCATTCATAGACCTTGTTTAAGGCATCTTAATGAGGATATTGATGTAGAACCACACCGAGTCAAGATAGAGACTAAGTCATTGATTCCCAAGTGTGTAACTTAGTGTGTGTTCGTTCTGTAACTGTGTAGGGTTGACATCCGAGGACGCTCACTAGCCTATCTGTAACCCAGAACTCTGTGAGTAACAATGTTGCAAAGATATATTCAATCACGAATAATTTCTGAATGATCAACTGTACTGCTTTCTGAAATAATATTTCTTACTGAATGAATGCTTGTCCTATTTGCGAACTGTATTCGTGGCATCCATAGCAATTTACTGTTACTGTTACTGTACTGTACTGCTACTGTTATAGAGATCTCTATCGGTTCCCATGTTTGGAACCACTACTGTTTATTGATATGATGGCTATCAACTGACTGTTCGGTCTGTTAAGACCTACTGTACTGTTTTGCTATGGGATGTTTCATCTGGATTCTGCTCATCTTCATCAAAATCAGGAATATAGAAGTCTGGTGGAACCTGCAACATATGAAACATTGTTTTTCAGTCCACTAATATTATGAATCTATTTGACAAACATAAGACAAATTTGGTATGGGCCAGGTCAAAAATATTTAGCTTATGGGGTCGTTTGGGAAGAAAAACAAAAGCCAAATTTAGGCTAAAAATCACAAAAAGACAAAATAGGTTAAAATAGTTAATAAGACAAAATATCACATCAAACCCATAATCATTTCACTTTTTCTCTCACAAACATCACATCCAACCACAAAAAAATCCAATCATCTTCCCAAACACAAAAATTTTAGCCTACTTAAAATAGCCAAAAACTAAAATAGCCACTTCCCAAATGAGGCCTATATTTCATGCACATTTTAAGTTTCTTCAATACAAGTATCATACCATTCAGATTAAAGCTATAACCGAAGTTTAAAAACCAGAACGTTCATCAACTTGGAAAGGCACTATAGCTCACAGTTCACTGGCTTATCCGTCTGGCTCTAGGTTTGAACAGTGATGCCATGCTGACGTCAAAGATATCTAATGGTGGATATACATTAAAACAAATGAAATAATGAAGAAGGTAGAATATGAAGCTGAACATGAAAGAAGTGCATGAATTTCATGAAGACTATTGAACTAGGGGGCATAATGGAATCAAATTAGAAATTATTACAGATATTCAGGTGGATGAGGAGATTGGACTTTCCACAAGCTGCAGATCCATCACTGGATCGGAAAGTAATGAAATTCAACACTTGGCAACTTTTACTTTCAATTGAAGATTCATTTAAATAACCCTTTATATCAGATGATTTAGATAAGAGCTTTTTAAGATGAAATGCACCAACAAGCTGTATGAACGGTTTTTGAAGTGGTTTTGGAGCATTTCTCGCTGGCTTGTTGTTTGCAAACTTATGCTATTTACCTCTTGCAATTGCACACTTGGAGCATGCTGAATGCAACGAAGATTCTCCAACACCTGCGTTTTAATCATACTAAGATATGACTTGCTATTTAAGTTCTCCTGCACAATCAACAAAATAAAAATATCAAAACAAAGACGAAATATATATCAGTATATAGTATTTGGTGAAAAATTGGTACAACATAGATTTTGATGCATCAGGGGCAATGGAATTAGAAACAAAAGAAAAGAAAATAGTACATACTATGTGCCCATTAGGAATCCTCAACGAAAAATCTGGGGCAAAATATTTGACATACTCATTCTCTGGGATCTCTGCAAGAAAATTTTCAAACTGCCATATAAAGTCACATGAAGAACTTAATGAACCATATTTTCAATAATTACAAAGGCATTCACATCACAGACCCCTTCTATAAAAGCTGAAATAAGAATTCTTTACAAAAACAGAGTCATACTATAGAAGTTCTAGGAACAGAAGAGAAGAGGCCAAAACCTTAAAAAGAAGATTTTGTAGCAATAAATAAGTTTTAAAACGAATGACCATGTCAATTTATTGATATGATGGCTATCCCACTACTGTTTATTGATATGATGGCTATCAACTGACTGTTCGGTCTGTTAAGACCTACTGTACTGTTTTGCTATGGGATGTACCACATATGATTGCTATGATTGAATGACTGATATACTGTTATAACTGACTGTTTTAAATACTGAAAGGACATTCATTCCTAACGTCTTTACGCATATGTTATTCACTGGGCTTTAGCTTACTGTTTATATATATATGTAGGTGTCCAAGCACCGGATCGGAGTTAGGAGCATTGGGTTAAACTCCCTTTTTGTCAAGCCAACCAACGTGCCTCACTGCGAGGTCCCAAGTGTGTCCAAGCCAAAACTGCTTCGGGGTGTTTTAGATTCCCCCTTTCTGTTTCTATTTTGTATAGACTGTTTAGACTTGTACTGTACTGTTATGGTAGGGATTTGGTCCCTAACCTGAATGCCTATTTATGATGTATGTACATACTGCTTTTGTTCTAAATGTGAATATATATGAAAAGTCTTTTTTTGCATACAGATTGTCACAGTTCATTGGATATCTTTTATTACTGTTTTGACTCCGCCAGCCCCTGTACTCTGTATTACTGTTATTACTGTTAAGCAGGCCTTCGGTAATCACGGATTACTGGCCGGTTACGGTGCTAGACCCATAGAGGCGGGTTTGGGTCGTGACATAACAATATGCAAACCAACAAGAATCTAACTCCCTTTCAACGTAAGTCCATGCTCAACAAGATTCTCCTCAACAAATAACCTCCTTATCAAAGGACAACAAGATCCAAAAAATAAATAAATAAATAAATGAAAGACAAAAATTCAATATGGTGGAGCAAGTAAGGAATTTCAGATTTGTACCTCAAAACACACAAGGATATCCAAGAAACATAATTACTTGACTACACAATGTGTACAATCTCTAGAAGATTCATTGTGAAAGAATGTGATGCAACATGTGAAAAGCATAGATCTCACGAGAAAAGTGTGTGTGTGTGTCTCTTGAAGTTCGACAAACACTAGATTCAAATCCTAGTAGTGATTTGATGGCTAGACCTCCGGTAAGAGAATCTACGAATGACTGAGAAAAGTCAAGCCTCTAGTGATCAAGGGGTATTTGTTGAGTAAAAAAGAATGTTTTCCCTTAAACAATGCAACATATTCTTGCGCACTTACCGATGACTTTCACACTCAAGAGTATGAAAACCAAACCAAAGAAGGATGGAAAAGATAGTGAAGCCTAGTTAGTGACTTTGAGGTAGTCTTTTCCTCATGCCATGGTAAGTAGTGGAGGTGCAAAAAGATGGTAAAGGGTTAAGAGACTCAACATTACCCAAGATATGCTAGCACTGGTCAATTTCTCAAGAAAAACACAAGTAACATCGCTAGAAGTACATAGAGAACTTTGATCACTTATGCGGAAGATGCTGATATTTGCTAATCCAAGGGTGTGTACAGAATGAAACATACTAATCAAAGTACACACAATCTTAAATGAGTAATAACCACATATAGCACACACTCATTAACAAGTAATGGCTATTCTCATTAATTCCAATATGTACCAAAAAGTTCTCAAAATTTTCAAGCTTGCAAAACCATATAAAGAAAATCTTTTTGGATTTTTTATAAACAAAGCAAGAAAGCAACGAATAAAAACACATAAATTATCCAAAAATAAGGAAGACAAACAAAAACTCAAACCAAAAGGAAAAAAAAAAAAAAAAATAAATGAACAAATTAACCCAAGTCAAACTTTCTTACCCAAATTGCTTTAGTATGAACATGTTGGGTGAATTACAATTCTTGGGTGGTGTCTTGATGTTGTGGTTTCCTTCCCCTTCGATGGGAACTTGTCTCGACTGAGTTTCCAATCTCCTATTCCTAGGTCTAGGCAAACACAAGCTTGTTTCATGTTTGATCTCAAGCAATTCAAAACAATGAGGTCTAATGTGACCTTTAAGCTAGTAATGATGACAAATAGAAATGAATTTACTCTTGGCTACACAGTTATGAGACAAAGAAGAAGATGAAATGATATTACCCCTAGCCATGAACTCTTGAGTGCTCTCATCCTCAGAAGTTGAGGCTTTGGATAGTGAGACATGTTTTTTGATGATGCCAACTCCTCCTTTATCATTAGCCATGTATTGAGTACAATGAGCCGCATCCATACTTTGTGCACTTGAAGCTTTGACATTTTTAAGTTCCAACTTTAGGGAGATAATTTTCGTTTCAAGCTCTTTCCTAAACTTTGAACAAGTCTCGAACTCTTTTTCAAGATCACCGTTCTTTCTCTTTCAAAGCATCATGAGCATGAAGCAATTGATTTCTCTATATTCCACATATGGAAAGTTTGGCAATCAAAGACTCATTTAAAAGAACACTAACATCCATTTGAATTTTCATGAGCTCTTGCTCTAGCACTTTACTTAGCCTAAGCTTAGTAGATAACTTGATTTTCATATTTGTCAAGGTGAAACTTCGCTTAACATCTCATATGTTTCCCAAAGAGTTGCATAATCTATTTCTTCTTCTGCACTTGAAGACTCACTACCACCATTTGAGTTGCATAATCTATTTCTTCTTCTGCACTTGAAGACTCACTACCACCATTTGAAGACCTTGAAGTGAAGCTTTCATTCTCACCCTTGTCCAAAGATGATTTTTTATTTGAAGAATCAACATTCGATACACGAGGGATGGAGGTACCATGAGATTTACCATTAGAACTTGCATCCTCATAGATAAACTTCAACAAATCCCCTTGCTTCTTTGGCTGTCTCACATTGAGAAATATGGGTTCGCTTACCTTCCGAGATAGTATCACGTATTGCCTTTAATGCTCTTGAGTTGTATCCAAAGTGTTGCAACTCAAGTTCACTCCATTGCTCTTATGGCTTCAAATTTCTCAAGCTTGTTGCCAAGTCAAGTTCATATCGCATCTCAAACCCTTTCTCTACAATCCTCCATAGGCTTGCATTAAATACCAATAAATACACCCTCATTCGAGCACTCTAGTACGGTATTCAGCTTCGTCAAAGTAAGGAATAATGGAAACATTCTAACCATGAGCATACTCAACTTGCCCCTCGGCATAAACCACCCGTCCCTCAGCTATGGAAACCGCCATGAAAGCAAGAAATTGTTCATACCCCTATTTGCCTTGAACCTCGTTGTCACTTTCATCCTTATCTGATTCTGACTCATCTTCCCAAGTGATAGCGTAGGCTTTCTTCTTCCTCAACCAGTTAGGGCATTCTTGAGCAAAGTGGCTAAAACCTTGGCATTCATAGTATTGGACTCTTCGAGGATTCCCTTATATTTTTCCTTTATTCTTCTCCAATGTAGGAACAATTTTGAGTTTCTCTTTTTCTTTGTATTTGTGAGTTGATTCTATAAGATTAACTTCTTGAACTGTTTTACAAAAGCATCTGTAATCTTGGAATCAAACTCACAATCCTCATCGGAATGCTTTCCAACACTATGAGTACTATTAAAAGCCAAAACATCATTTTCTTTCTTTTTGAAATTCAAATGAGCCTCATAGATATAGAGATTTCCAACCAATTGATCCAGCTTGAGGTTGTCAACATGTTGAGCCTCCTCAATAGCCATAACTTTTGGTTGGAATCGATCAGGTAAGGATCTCAAAATTTTTCAACAATCTTGGATTCCGTTTTTTTTTTGTGCCTAAATTGAAGTTGTAATTCATAATGTCACTCAACTTCACATGAAATTCATTAAAAGTCTCACTATTTTTCATGGAAGGGTTTTCAAAACTAGAAGTGAGCTTTTGAAATTTTGAGCATTTAACCAAAGGAGTGCCCTAGTGAATAGTTTCTAAGATATCCCATGCCGTTTCTGCGACTTTATAATTACAAATATGACTAAACTCTTCGGGTGTGATGGCGCAAAACAAGGAATTGATAGCGTTACTATTCTAGCTACTATTTTAGTAATAAGTTGTGTTCCATTTGTCAATTGATTTAGGGAATATTACTCTATCAATGGTAATCGTAGGTTCGGTCCACTCTGCCATGACGGATTGCCAAAATTTTTCATCAATAGCTTTTAAAAATGCTCTCATCCGAGCTTTCCAAAAAAATAATTGGATCCGTCAAGTATGGGTGGTCGCACTGTAGAATTTCTACCACGAATTGAATCTATTATCGTAAATCAAACAAGATCTTGCTCCTTATAGCTTTGAAAAACAAAGTTTGAGTGATCAGCTCTGATACCAACTGAAAAATCTAAACCCCCCTCCCCCCCCGAGATATTGATTTGTGATTATGATTTAATTTTAAACAATGAATAATAATCCCAATAAACAAATCAACAACAAATCGGCACAACGATTTAATTTGGACAAAACCACAATTGGACTTCTCCAATTATGATAAAAAGCCACGGGTCAAAGCTATAAAATGATCTACTAAGAAGACAAAAAAAGAATTACACTTGAGAACCCTCAATTACGTAGCGAATCCACACCTAAATTGAACCAAACCTGATGTGCCTCTTCCATCACTATTTTCACTTTAGAATTGTTTTTCTCAACATTGAATCTTTAACAATTCTGGTTTAGACCCGATCTATTTTCTTGCTTTTGAATCTGAGGACCCAGTGTACCTAAATGTTGTTTATCTTATTTCTATCTTATTGCTTATTGAGATTGGCTATTTGGAGTTTTGGTTACATTTGAAATAGGTTGAAAAGTTAGTTTTTCCAGGAGTTGATTGCCCAGATTTTTGCTTCTTTGCTCGAGCGGTCTTTTACAGTCTATAAAATTACTGGGAGTTGGGAATCTATGCTCGAGTGGTCTTTCTTGAGCTTGAATGGTATTTTACAGGTCTGCAAAACTATTAGGAGGGGGTCATTGTGCACTTGAGCAGTGGTTTTGGTTGCTCGAGTGGTGTCACTTATTGTGTTTGTTCACTCGAGCGGTGTTTTGGTCGTTCAAGCGGTTTACACATATATCAGTCCGAG